ATAAAGAGCACTTACTGTTTGATACGAAATGATCTTGTATTCTAGAACTGGCAAAACTAATTTATCAGGATGGAAAGCATCACCGATTGCCTGGGGCCAGGTGGGGGTGAGGATTGACTGTAAAAGAGGACAAGGCAACTTTTTGAGGTAATGATGGAGCTTTCTGAAGTGATGTTATTGTTCGATATTTTCTCTGGAATATTTCCAGAGTTGTTTTAATCGGTTATGGTAAGGTTACAGACAGAAACAGTTGCCTTTGAAAGAAGAATACATAATTTACAGTTCCCAAGAGGAGGGGGGTGCCATAAATTCAGGGCCAGATGGGACACTTCCTGGGTTAGTCTTGGGAAAGCATGGCCTGGAGGGTTTGTTGTGGTTTCCCTGGGAAGAGCTAGGTAGAGCAAGACAGTTTAAGATTGGCCAGTTTGAATGATTTCAGTGTCCTCAGGTATGGGATGGTCCTAGTCCAGTACCTGGTCCTGGGGTAATGATCGAAGCCGGGAAAGTATTGGCCTGCTGTGTGAGAGTTAAAGGAGATGGTTGGGGACTGGACTTGGGATTTGATGGCTTGCATCTGAAAGAGGAGTTAGTTGTTTGCTCTCTGTAGGATTAATTAGCCCTGAAAGGGGCACTCTTTCCAGCCAGCCAGGCCCCTAGTATGTCAAAATATCATAAAATATAGAAAAAAGAATTTGATAACTACACAGGTGTAGACTTTTATGTATCCGTTGTATGAAAACTACATCTCAATATAGTTCATTTGAAAAGTTTTAAAAAATAGTCAAATGTAATGAGCACATGAAATTACTTAAAACAAGCTAGGAAAATTCATCCTCAAATGCATTAAAAGTTTTTAAATAATACCTAAATGTATAAAAGGACAAGAGCAGCATTGAATACTTAACCATTAAAAGTTCATTCAGGCAGTTCCTTTTTTTTCTTCTCTGTGCTGTGACCATTTTCATTTCCTTAATACAAAAAAAGAAAGGGGGCTTTTTCAGTTCTTTAATGTCTGGGGTTCCTTTGCTGTTTTCTTAAGCCTGAAAAATAAAAGTTTTTGTCAACTTCTCCTTCAACTTTTTTAGTGACAGATCAATATTGCATGAAGTATAATATGAAATCAGTTTCACTAGTTCTTCCTTATATCTGGTTGAAATTTGCCTTCTTGTAACTTGTCTCCCTCACTGGTCTCAGGAATTTTAATTACCCACTGGAGTGACATAGGATTCCTCTAATCCTCCTTCCAAGTAACTTCTCTTCAAATATTTGAAGATGACCATCATTTCCCCTTAAATTCTTTTATTTGAATTCCAGGAAAGGAATCAAGTTCATTCTTTTCCTAACTTCTCTAAATCACTTCTCCCTATTATTTTGTTTCCATTCTTTGTTTCACTGATTTTTCTTTAATTCTAATATCTAGTACAAAAGCCTCCCACCTGTATGTCCATTGATTTGGTCCACACTTATACGTGTCCCTGTGTGTGTGAGGGAGAAAAGAGGAGAGATGGGACGTGGGGGAAACCAGCACACAGGAGAGCATGGCATATACGTGAATTTAGGGGTCAGACACACCCGGGGAGTTAATTGTAGCTCATTCGCAGTGACTTTGAGGGAATTATGTAATTTCTTTGAGCCTCAGTTTCTTGACGTGAAAGATGATAATAATGCTGATTGTCACGTTATGATGAGGGGTGCATATGAATTACCTTATAGGTCTAGCACATGGTAAGCACTCAGTGCAGAAGGGCTACAGTGTAGAATACAGCACAGGTGAAGCTGTCATCTGTGGATTCACCAACTAGCCCAAAACGTAAAACCTGTGGGGCAACCACCGTGCAGTGCCTTAACATCAAGAGCCACAAGCTCTCAGTAGAGTCAGAACTAGAGGAAGGCCCGTGAGAAGAGCAGCTTCCCAGTCAGTGGTAGGTTAGTGGCATTATCTTAGTACTGGTATGTAAAGAAGAACCTGTTATAAATTACCCATGATAACACACCCAAAGACTTCATTTTTATATTTCAAGTTCTCCTGGGCAAATATATTAGATTACAACATTTTTAAATGGCATTGTGTCAGTCAGGTGATGTATGACATGCACAAAGGGGGACCCCTGTCCCCTTGTAGTACAGGCTTCCCCCACTAGTTAGGTGAGTGTTTTAGGAACCTATCTCTCTCAGTGTACCAGATGGCGTTGTTGTGAGAGGCTGCATTCAGCTTCAGTGAATTTTTTTTTGAAGTCTCTTTCAACACGCCTGCCCATTTCATGATGGGTGATTTACAAGCTTCCCTTCCACACCACGCTGTGTTCAGCAGATTTTGACCAAAACAGCAGGACCCTCGTGCCCCACCCTCCCTATTCACCCATTCTCACCCTGAGTGACTTTTCTTTTTGTTTCCCCAGATGAAAAAAGTCCTCAAAGGGAAACATTTTGTAGATGTGAAAGAGGTGAAACAAAAAAACGGCAGAAGTACTAAAAGGCATCAAAATTCACAAGTTCAAAAACTGTTTTGAGCAGTGGAAAAAATGTCTTGATAGGGGTATTGTATCAAATGGAGAGTACTCTGAAGGTGATTGAAGTTTGAATGTGTGAGAATAAATGCACAGTTTTTTATACATGAATTTCAGGCTTTTGGAGTCCCCTCCGTATGTTCTAGATCATTCCCTGGAAATAACAATCTAGATCCATGTACACATTGCAGCTCTGTGCACGGTGCCCGCGTAGACACACAAGCGCAGGCATTTACTCACGTGCTCACACCATGGGGAATGTTACCAAGCTTGTTGATCATGGAGTGAGTGATTTTCAGTGTTCTGTAAGATTCTTCATCTAAATTCAATTCTGGGAACCCTGGCTAGGCAGCATAACCAAGACAAAGCAACGTCTGCATTAGGTTTCCTTAGATGGGAATGAATGGAAGATTTCCATGGCCACCACCATCAGGCTCTCACTTCTCAGGAAACCACCCAATTCTCATTTTTTAATTAATTCTGTTTAAATATGACATATTAACTAAAATTAAAAACAATCATATATATGATTATAAAGCATATTGTTTTAAATCTTACTATAATTGATAGCATTCATTATTTGCAGTCTTTTTATTTTTGTTTCTTTCTGATCCAGTAGACATATTCTTCTCTTTTGGATCAGTAGGAAAGAATTGACTGGTTTGCATTAGAGGTGTATCTCAACTTTTGAAGAAAACACCAAATTATTTTTCAAGTTGTGTCATTTTGCATCGCTGCCAGCATGCATAAGACTTCCGCTGCCTCTACTTCCCTGTCTACACTTGGTATTGTCTTTTTTATTCAGTTTAAGCCACACTAATAGGTATACAACAATATCTCTTTGTGGCTTTAATTTACATTTCTTTAATAACTAATGATGTTAAGCATCTCTTGATGTCATTATTTGCAAGCCGTATCTTTTTTGTATAATTTATTTATTTATTGTGTGCAGTTATTTCATCTCACTCTGTGGCTTGTCTTTTTATTCTCTTAACAGTGTCTTTTGAAGAACAGAAGTTTCTAATTTCAGAGTCCAAATTATTAGTTATTTTATGGATTGTGCTATAGATGTCCTAAGATATTTTTGCCTGATGTAAGGCCATAAAGTTTCCTTATATACATTTAGGTAACACTCTCTCAATCTCCCTCTCCCTTTCTCCTTCTCCCTCCCTGCCTGTCCTCTTTCCTGCATTTCTCTGGGAATCTCCATTAGGGCTTCCCTTCCTGCAGCTCGGTCCTAGGTTGGTTCATCTCATTTGTTGCCTGTGTCTTAGAGGCCAGTCTTTTGTGACCTGGTGCCCAGTGTTTAAACATTGTCTCGTGTCTTTTGTGTGTGTCCTGGTTGTTTCAGGAAGTTGGAAAATACAGTCTCTCTTACTCAGTCTTAGCCGGAAGTAGAAGTCATACCTTTTAACTTTGTCTAATCTCCTATTGAACAAACATTTAAAATTTTAAGTAGAAAAATTCATCAGTTTCTGCCGTAATGGCTTCTGTCTTTGGTGTCATGCCTAGAAACACTTCTATGAAGGCTCATAAAAATATTTACCTATATTTTTTCAAGTATTTTGTCTTATTTTTATATTCAAATAATTTATTAATATGTAACAGTATTATAGGCAATTTGAAAAATACCTAAAATGGAGGGGAAAACATCTGTATTTTCATCACTAAATAATGCCAATATACATATTAACATATTTCCTGTCATGAGTGTTTCTGTGCTTTGTTTTTCTATATAGGTGTAACCCTAGTGTGTACCCCATTTACTGTGTTCATCCAGTGCATTATATCATCAGCATTTTCATGTGGCTACACAATCTTCATAATCACATTTTAATGACCGAATTATATTTCATCAAATGATTATATTGCAATTATGCTACTTTTACCTGTATCATTAAACACTGTAGTTATTTCTTCTTAAACAAACAGTACAAAATAGTTTTCAGGCAGGGCATTTTCAGGGAAACCTTAACCCTGCCTCCTTCTGCACGTGTCTGTCCCCGTGAGGCCAGAGATTCAGGTACAGTCCTCTCCGTTTGGCCCCCCTCCCCAGGCCCAGGCCAGTAGATTAAAAACACTTGCCTGTATAAAAATGGGAGTGAAATAAAAACATCAGTTTCATAATAGTTAAGTGCCAGGGGTGTCCAGCCTTTGGCGTCCCTGGGCCACACTGGAAGAAGAAGAGTTGTCTTGGACCCTTGGACCATACATTAAATACACAAACACTAATGAAAACCGATGAGAAAAAACAGATTGTAAGTAAATTTACATTTTTAGTAAATGTACGATTTTGTGCTGGGCCACATTCATAGCCATCCGGGCCACATGCAGCCCGTGGGCCATGGGTTGGACACCCCGGGTCCATTCCTTATTACTCATATAATTATAAGTAGAAAGACTTTTTAAAAAACTTATAATTTATATTTACATATATATTAACTTGGCATCTCAATTATTTTCTAATTATTATTTGTGCTTGGTTATTTTTAGGGAAGTTACTGCTCAAGTCAAACACATCACAATGCAGAATTCTGTATCAGTACCACCAAAAGATCAAGGTAAGGTAAGCCATGATGAGGAAAATGGTAATGTGTATGTTATAAGTGGTGTATATTATTTAAATGTATATAAGCTGATACATTTAATGCCACTGTCCTCTAACCACAGGGAACTTATTTCCTGGAACCAAGAAAAATTTTAACGTACATGAAAGTTTATTTCCTCTGGAAAATTCCTTGAGTGGATATGGGTCCCTGGGTTTAAGAGCACGTCTCCTTTGTTGAGAGCTCTTTGAGAGCAGTGCCATCTCATTGCACACAGAACTCCCAGGGCTCAGCCCACGAGCTGGTATAGCAGGTGTCAAATGAAATCACAGAGTGTTGGCTGAAGCAGAACGACGCGTATCTCAGTGAGAGAGCAAATACATCCACGTCATCCACGTATGTAAACATACATATGCGTGCGTGCACATGCACGCAGCACACACAGGCAGGGGAGAGGGCAGGAGAGGGGACTGGCTTACACATTTCCTTGACCTGTTTCTTCCCGACTCATTTAAAAAGAAACATAAGAAAAACTATTTCCCTCCATATGAGTTTTAAAAAGAAAATCATGACTTAACAGGTGTTCCTGAACCTTTCAGAAAAGCAGAAAGGTAGTCCTTTCTAAATAAAGAATAGTAAACTCCTACCACAGTAAAGGGAGAACTCTTTTAGGAGGAATTCAAGTCTTTCCCCTGCCCCTGCATAATTGTCTTTCACACAGAAAAATAATGTCTTTGTTGATCACAATTTGGTGTCCTTAATAGAATGTGTAACTTTTAGTGAATGGGGTGAACTTACTATAAAGAACCCTTACCTGGTGATAACACTCTTTGATTGCTCTATGAAGGAAAAAGGGTAATGTCATAACTATTGAGAATGTGGTCTGGGTTTGAAACCCAGTTCTACGACTGAATTGCATAACCGTAGGTACATGACCTACGGTTATGCAATTCTCACTTGACCTAAGCTTTCTCACCTATAAATCTATAAAGTGAAGATAAGAAGTCCTACCCCACAGGTTATATGGAATTAAAGGGGTAAATATATGTGAATCACACAGCGTATTGCTGATTGCATAGTAGGCACTTGCAAGATGATGGTGGCTATTCTTAGCAGTTGTGGCTAATACCTGGGCTTGCTCCTTGTGTGGAGGCTAATGTAATGAGCTGGACATGGCTGTCTCCCACTTGGAGTGCCTACTGGCCTCAGAAGGCCACGCATGACCCAGGGAGACCCATAGGAAGTAAACATAAAGCAGACCCACAACTTGGTTCTTATCCTGACATTTGGCCAAAGGGGGAGTAAGAGTTTTTGAGATTCATACAAGATCCAGCCTCAAACACTAGACAAGAAAGAAGATGGGAATGAGAGGGGGGGACAGTAAACCCTGTCTATCTAGAAAAAAAAATGTGGATACTTTCTGGTATATGCATTTATCTTTGGAAGGTTTCTGCAGTACTGGGTTTGGAAGTTTGATTCCTAGCTGATCTCACCTTCCTCACCTGAGCAAGTGAGGAGAGGTGTGAGTGCTTAGAAGAAAGAGTATTGGAACCAACGTCAGGAAAGCGGGGCTCCTGTCCCAGATCGGCCTCCAGCTGGCTGTGGAAACTCAGACACGTTATTTTGCCCCTAAGCCTCAGCTTCCCTGTTAGTAAAGCCAATATTACTAGACGTTTTTTAAGCTCTGAAAGGTTGTGAATCTGTCTGAATAACTAAACAATGAGCCACTTGAATTCTGGCTAATACGGGGAAGAAAAAACAAAAAACCATGTCACCACTCACACCTCCTGCCTACTTTGCTTCTCATCAAGGTTGATTTTGTTTTGTTTTTGTGTCTTCCTTTTTGAGCTGTTGCATGTGCTTAGTTACCTCCATCGACTTGGCAAGAATATAAGACACCTTCAGGCCTAGCTAGGATTTTATTAGCTCTAGTGAATTCTCCATCGCTCACTTCTAGGACAAAGGCTACTGAAGCCCCAACTCCAGAATGTGACGGAGAAAGAGAGGTATAACAGCTAAATCAGCTGAATCAGTCAGGCGCCTTCAGTGTTACAGTCATTCTGCCTACAACTTTACATTCTTTGTTTCATTTCATCTTAACAGTACAGTGGGTATAATCTGTGTTTTGAAGGTTCAGGTACTTTGACCAAGATCGCCAACTATTAGGTAAGTCAGCTAAGGTTTGAACCTGGATCAAATCAAAATCTAAACTCACTGTTTGTCCCTGGTATCACACTATAAATTTATAGGGAATATTTATAACCTACTTTTACATCATTTCCCTTTCTCTCCTCTGGTCAAACGTATCGTGCTTAATTACACATATGAATATTTAAAACTATTTTAAGCCAAATGAGGCAGAAATTAGAATTTATATCATGATAAATTATATCAGTAAGGAAAAACAGCGTAGTACATGTGAAGCCTCAGAATCACCCAATTATTCATTAATTTACTCATTTGCCTGTCAGATGCTTTCTCTGTAGCCTGGATTCTATTAATATTTTTAACAAAGAAAAATATGAGATTTTAAAATTATGATCTTGTGTATATTTGTCGTTAAAGTAATCATTTATGCAACCTGAGAAATTTGCTGGGAACACGCCATTTCTTAATTAGATGGCTATGTATAAATTTTGGTACTTTTGATTTCAGGCTTGTAAACATGCACACATACCATACACATCGATGTACAGAATTCAGAAAGGACATCATCAGTGGAAGTGCGGGGTTTAAGAAAATCTCGTGCATCACATAGTGTCTCCTAATAAAATGCTGTATTGTGGGAGCAGATTCAATGATCACCAAGCCAGTACTTACCAGGAGCTGTGTCAGGTACTCCAAGGGAGCCAAAGCCACACCAGACAGAGCCCGCGCTTCTGCAGAACTGAATTCTGTTAGAACAGCAGGCACGTATGTGATGAACTGGAGCAAAGCTTGGCAAATGCTGTATGAGAAGTGAGTACGACAGACGTTGAGAACCTGGATGGAGGCACAACTGATTAAGCCAGAATTTTGAGGCCGGTCAGGAAACAACGCAGCAGAGAGGAGATGACATTTGCTCAGGGCAGTAATGCATGTATAGAATTCAAGCAAGTGGAATTTAAGAGTCAAGGTGCATGCCTTTGAAGCTAGGAAAGAACTAGAGGAAACTAATTAGAAATTCTAGTGCCCTTTATTTAAATGTTTTTTTAACTTTGAATGAGGACGTTTAACATTATAGTTTCACTCTAACGATGATTCATACTATGTTAAAAGCTTTCTATTGTAGCTTGGCACCATCACTGTTCGTACCTGTGTGGAGGTATTCCGTATAGACCCTTCAGAAGGCCATTAGACTTTGTTACAGTTTTCTATCTTCTCATGCATTCAGGATTTGGGGACAAGATTTATGGTTTTCCCATAACTTCTCATTTTCAAATGAGAAGCCAATAGAAATATAAGGGTGAGTATTTTGTGTTGAAAATAGCAAATTGTAACAAGTGATAGACCCTGTTTTTGAGGGGAAATGGGTGTGAAACAAGGTGACAGGGCCCACTACCATTGTTGTCACTTCCACTTTAAATTTGTTGAAGGAAAAGACAAAAACACCACAGTGATTGAAAATGCAAATGAATTTATTTATTTGATAGATAAGGAAACAGAGAAGTGAGCAACTTGGCCAAATGCTTCTCTAACAGGAACAATTTATGTTTTTTATATGCCAGAGAGAAGTTCACTGTGAATATGGCAATTAGAGGTTGAAGTTTGTACCTAGGAGGAAGCAGGATGAATTTTAAGTCCCCGAACAGTTGGTCAAAACAGGTCCCGCGGTTCGCTGGTCAAGACAGAGTCTTCCTATTCGTCCAGGGGGCTCCGTGTAACGGGAGTCACTTAAACTCCTAGTCATGTGCCGGCTTCACCATTTGGTTTTGCCATTTCCTGGGCGAGTCTGCAGCAGGAAGAAAGGTCTCCTCTTATAGGCCTTCCGACCTTTCTCAGCTCCGGCCTAACGTGTGTTGTTTAAACATAGTTTTCAAACTGTGAACGCAATTTTTATTCAATGAGAGTAACAGTAGATGGGGGTCAGAAGACAGCAGATTCTTTGAGGCAAGACACAGTGTCCTTAACGCCCCCTGCACCGTGCAAGCAGTGCAGTCAGCTGGACACTTAGCCACCGTCCGCTCCCGCTGACTCAGAGCCTGCGCACTGTCGGACTGTGGAGCCGGGGCCTAGACCCTCCGTCCTGTGAGTTCAGATTTGCATCTGTTTAAAAAAAATTCTGATTTTCTGATTCAGTAACATGCTTTTAAAATAAGTATGGCAGAGCCTAAAAATATATTCCTGTGTCTTATAGACATGAACATATATATCCTACATACATAAGCATTTTGGTATTAGTGAAGGTAGCATGTGGAACTCAGTGAGGAACATTTGGAGTGTGGCAAGTTAATTGATTTCTTTTTAACTTTAGATAAAAATGAGCATATTTTATTATTTTTTAATGTTTAACCCTCACTCAAGAATGTTTACTGATTTTAGAGGGAGAGGAAAGGGTGTGGGTGGGGACAGAGAGCCATCAGTCGGTGGCCTCCTGCACTGCCCTGACCAGGAATCGAACCCACAACCTTTTGTCTCGTAGGACGATGCTCCAACCGACGCACCCAGCCAGGGCAACCGTACTTATTTTAGACTCTTAGTATCATTTGGGTTCCTTATAAACTTCTCAATCAATGTTCTGTCTTTGGCAGGCCTTAAATCACCCTGGCAAGTAGTGGGTTATCAAATACATATTAAATTTTGATGAAAATGCTTTAAACTCTCAAACATATCTTTAAATCATATTACTTAAATGATGTGAAAATATTTTAGTCTTTATTTTTTTAACGAAACACCAACCTGGAGTCCTCAGGTCTGTGTGTTTATTTAAGAAACATTTCTTGTCTTGGAGAGGCAAGGAGCGAAGAACAAAGGAAAGAGAAGAAAACCGAACTAAGTTCTAATCTCTTACATAGCTCGGTCCCAGTTAATAATAG